GCAGCTATCCAGACGTGGAGCTTTCAACCGGACTTGGCAGGCCCTCGTGCTTTCGAGGATGTCTACCGTTATTATCTAGATTAGATTTAGGCTTTAGCTAGTGGAGCATGTTCCACTAGTGTTTCTTTCCACTTTATTTCATACTTTTATATTGGTGTCGTTTTGGCAAAAATACATTTAAGGCAATTATGAACTATTTCTTTCATTTGATTATCACTATATTAGATGGTTGATTTGTCAACACCTATGATGTTAAGTTTAAAATGTTTATCTTGAATTAAGAAGACAAAAAGTTCAAATTTTCCGCTAAAATTAACCTAGATGAAGTAAGAATGACGTATGTAGGCTTGTCTGCGACCTCTAAAAGGTCAACGACGCCGGTCTCGTCTGGAGTCTAGATTCCGGGCGTGACAACTACAAATGACCATATCACTCATTAAATAATAAATTGGATACTCATGATATATCAAATTAAAGTTCTATGAATCTTCTTCCAACTCCACCAAATTTGCATAATCGGGAGTCAGGGTAAGAAGTTATGACCATTTTACCATACACTATCTTAACGAGTTTTCATAGTTTGCTAACTACGAACGTTATTTATAATTCCTAAATTGAAATACGACCCACAATGCGAACTCATAAAAAGAACATGTAAAGTCATTTTTTCTGTTTGACTCTTACGAACCGGTTATGGATCATAAAAGCATCCATGTACCGTAATTTAGGCCCATAAAATGAAGTTTTGAAACATTATTTGAGTCTGGTTCCTATAGAATGAACTTTAGAAACTCAATTTTCAATCTGACTTCCACGGTTGGGATCCACGGCCCATAGATCAAACCAGAGACCATAGATGGCCTCATGAAGGTTTTCTCACAATTTTATAATCGGGATTTCTTTTGTATTTTTCCCATTATTCTTAAGTGGCCACAACATTTATGCATATCTTAAAAGGGATTTTCACGCTCAAGACTCAGTTCATACACTCTTAACTCCCTCAAACCCAGAAACAATGTAAGCAAGGTAGAAGCTAGAGATTCAAGTCTCATGCAAGTTTTTTATTCAAATATCAATCTCTCAGGCATGCAAGGCATCAATAAGAATATTAATTTTGTCTCATGCCTAAAGTATTTTGATTTTTAAAAATTTTACACGATTGATAGAAGTAAAGAGAGGATTTTTATGAAATTATGATCTTTCTTAACCACAATACACTTTTCAGAGTATGATAACTACAAACCTCATTTACGGTTCATAAATCCAATTACTGCTATAATTTGGGCCCATAGAATGAACTTTAGAAACTTAAAATTTCAGTCTGATTCCACGGATAGGATCTAAGGCCTATAGATCAAACCACAGACTGTAGATGGCCTTGTGGGAGGTTTTCGACAATTTTTGAATTGAGGTTTCTTTTGAATTTTTTCACTATTCCTAAATCTTACAACTAAATTACGCATTATATCCTAAAAGGGGTTTTCATGCTCAAAGACTCAATTCTTACACTCTTAACCCCCTCAAACTCAGAAACTATTGTAATCAGCGTTGAAACTAGGGTTTCAAGTCTTTTAAGCCATTTTTTTGTTCAAATTTCAATCTCTCATGTATGTAAGACTTCAATGAGAGTATTCATTCACTCTCATGCCGAATTTTTTTTGGTTTTCAAGAAATTAACAAGATTGGTAGAAGTAAAGCTAGGTTTTATAAAATTGTGATCTTTCTTTATTAGTTTACATCTTCATTCTTTCACCTTGGTTTAAAAACCTTATTGTAATGATTTAGCATGATTTTTATGGTTATTCGAACCCTTATGACTTTTAAACATAAAAAATAGCATGATATGAATTCCCACCTAAATTCATATTATTTTAGATATAACTTTCGAGCTTAGTCTCTCATATAATTCAAACGTATAGATGATTTTCATCCTATGAGCATTATATTTTTAATGTTGCATATCTATTTCTAGTAACTAATTATGAATATTTTCAACATATCCTCTCAACTCAAACGTTTTAAACTCATATGTTTCTATAATGTCTTCGTTAAGGAGTTGAGTGCAGCAGTGAAGAACTTCTTTACTGTTGCACTCAACTTCTCGTTGAAGACATTCTACGAACATATGAGTTCAACATATCACATTCCGTTCTGAGTACCGGTTCACTATATTCCATTCCGTCCCGAATACTATCGGACCGAAATGGTACAGGAACAGTAATGGAATAATTCGATCCGATGCCCAGTCTTAATCTCTATCATTCCAAATTTCTATAGTATCATTGAATATAAATCTTACCGTAATAATTCATTAGTTTGGAGACTTACACATTTTCTCTTTTCAGAAGGGGATCGTCTACGGAAACCATGACTCAATTACCAATCTAGGAATCCTCATATGGAGAATGGATGTCCTAGTTCCACAACCTAATTATCCTCAACTATGTATATATGCAGAGAAACTCCCTAACCCTAGTCGTTCACTGGGAGATCTAGAGTGTGACTTCCAACACCTATAATAGTGTTTATATAGACGATATTAGGGTGTAGAGTTAAATTAACTAGTGGGTCAGCTTACATAGCTAGCTCCCATATGGGTGCGTTAGGCCCAAAATATGTTCTTATTATAACACATACAATTCTCTGCTCCGTTATATCATTAATGTAAAATGAGTCAATTTATGAAGTTAATAATAACATTAATGTCTCTCAATTATTTAAAAAAACTGCAAAGACAAATAAAAAAATTACTCTATGATTTCCAATTATAAAAACTTAGTAATGAACGATCAAACATAGTCTATAGTTATTAGTGAGACTTATTATATCTCAAGAAATAACATATTAGAACAGCTAATATGCTTCTTCTTTCTAAAACTCTTGAGTATTATTTTAAAAAACGATTTTCAGGAAATTTAAGATTTTGATGTCATCAGGAAAAATGAGTTAGTACTAATTAGAGTTGTGCTCCAAATGATACCACAAAAGTAAGTGATTAAACAATATCAAAGCTAATACATGTATTATTTTCTCTCATATACTTGACGTTCCAAATAAGTGATTAAACAATATCAAAGCTAATACATGTATTATTTTCTCTCATATACTTGACATGCCAAATAAGTGATCAAACAATATCAAAGCTATTGAAAAATCCAAAGAACAGATTAAGCTGAAAGTTCACTTTCTCTATTGCTATTTGTTGAACCCTCTAATTTTTTTCCATGATCTACTCAATAATATCAGTAACGATAAGCCAGACGTTTGGCTAGCTAGACCACATATCAAGTCAATCCATAAAACCTGCATCACATTTTTTTCATAAACAAAAACTTTCATCAAGTTTAAATCTTGAATTTGTCTACACGATGACACAGATAAAGCATGTCTTAGTTTCCATCTAGAAGGAGATGTAGGGAAGCGATGTTCTCAACAGATTAAATATCTAAGACAGTCTTAGGATCATACCAAAAATTTCGGGCTTGGTACTAAAATGCATGATTTTGAATCATTTTATGACAATTGGTGATTATCCATTGGAATTCCTAACATCAAGCTCATCTTAAATGACTATGATTATTATAAAAAAAATTATGCCAACAACTATTTTTCATAATCATCATTAGAATAGTATTTGAAAATCAACATTAGAATAATTTTTGGCATAAAACAATCATAATAATCATTGTACTTCGAGATGAGGTTGATGTAAGAAAATCCTAATCATCACTGATCCTCATCCAATTTTTAAAAATCATGCATTTCAATACCAACCTAAAGTTTTTGGTGCGGTCCTAAGCGTGCCTTAGGTATTTGATCTCTTGAGAACATCGCTTTCCTATGTCGCCTTCTAGATGGACATTAAGACACTGTCGCAGATCAAATGATTCAAGGTGAGGAAAACCACTAAGTATAGTTTTCAATCCTCTTTTCTCATCTTAGCTCCAAACAGTTGAAGTTGGTGTAGTTTAGGCATGTTCTTTGTATTTGTTATGGCTTCTTCATCGTACGCATGAATCTAGCTGTTCAACTAAAATGACTTTAAAGAATGACTATAAAGGCTTATGGTTTCAATGGATTTTTTTATGATTGAGATGTAACAAAAGTGGAGTTCCTTTAACAATGAGAACTTCTTCACTGTTGCACTAAACTTCTCGCTGAAGCCGGTATGGGAACATATGAGTTCAAGACATGTTAAATTCCAAAGTAGAATCAGATAAAAACTACTCCTACTCAGGGTGCATAGGAAAATATGGCCCAGCAAGGGGCTAGTCCAAAAGGTAAAGACCTCAATATAAGTCGTTCTTTAAAGTTGTTTAAGTTGAACAACCAGATCCATGAATACGATGTAGAAGCCATAGCTATTGCACAGAACATGCCTGAACCGAACCACCTTCAACTCCTTGGAAACAAGATGACAAATGAAGGAGTGGATGTTATTCTTAATGGCTGTCCTCGCCTTGATTCAAGGTGGGGGACAACTAGGTAGAATAACTTCCGATCCTTCATTTTGTCATCTTACTTCCAAATAATTTAAGTGTGTAATTTTTTAAATTTATAAAATTATAAATTTTTTAGGTTTATGTTATTTGAAGTTGATGAATTAAGTTGTAATTTGTTTTTTTTTTTAAAAAACGAAACACTAAATAAAAGTATAAAACAATGACAAAAATTTAAAAAAAAAACAGATCCAATTTCATGGTCCGGTTCCGAATGAATTACCACAAAATCATGATACGGTCCCGTTACGAGTACCGATTCAATGTATCCGAAATAGACTAGAATGGTAACCGAAATGGAATCGGTACAACTCTATCTAGTACCCAACCTTATTATTGATACTGAAGAGTGCAGATAAAGTGTGTACAACATGTAGGAGGATGCACAATCACCGTCAAGTTGCACATACACTTTATCTAGATGCATCAATATCTCTATAATCCCAAGTTTATGTATTACTATTTAAGCATAGAGAAATATTCATTTGTTTGGAGACTTACAAATTTTCTCTTTTCAGAAGCTGACCGTCTGCGATAACCATGACTCGATTACCAATCTAGGAATCCTCATATGGAGAACAAATATCCTGGTTCACAACCTAAATATCCTCAATTATATATATATATATATACACACACACACATATATATATACATATAGAATTAAATATAAAGCATAGAATAATAATTCATTTGTTTGGAGACTTACAAATTTTCTATTTTCAGAAGACGATCGGCAGCCATGACTCAATTACCAATCTAGGAATCCTCAGATGGAGAATGGATCCCTGGTTCACAACCTAAATATCCTCAATTATATATGTATATATGCAGAGGAACTCTCTAACCCTAGCTCGCTAGCCATTCACTGGGAGATCTAGAGTGTTTCTTTCAACACCTATAATGGTGTTTATATAGCTAGTATTAGGGCGTAGTTTTAAATCTAGGAACTCTCGTATGGGTGCATTAGGCCCAAAAAGTATTCTTCTTAAGGGAACTTTCACATATAGCCACTAAAAAAATAGTCTAATTACTCTCCATAGCTATAATTTGAAAATTACAATTCGTAACTACATGTTATAGGGAAGAGAGAGGCGAATAAGACTGGGAGAGAGAGGAGGCAAAAGTAGGACAGAGGTGAATTGTATATGTATATTGGTTTGATAATTGTCTATTATATATATATATATGTGTGTGTGTGTGTGTGTGCGTGTGTGTATTTATATATGGGGAAAGCGAGATTGGGAGAGAGAGGAGAGAGCTGAGAGAGATTGGGAGAGGGAGGAGAGAGGCAAGCGAGAGAGGGTAGAGAGTGGGAGAGAGGTGAATTGTATATGTCTATTCGTTAGATAATTGTATATTATACATATGCATCTGTATAAAAAAGCAAGCGGAATCGGGAGAGAGAGGAAAGAGGTGAGCGAGAAAGGGAGGAGAGAGCGAGCGAGAGAGGTCAGAGAGTGGGAGAAAGGTGAATTGTATATGTGTATTGATTAAATAATTGTATATCATACAAATGTATTTATATATTCTAGCGATTATACATACACAAATGTGGTTAACTATACAAACTCGAAGTCAGCCCACATAATTAATGTATAATGTTAGTCTCGAGTAATAATTATAGCAAACTATAGATTTGATGAGTAATTAAGTAATATAAGTTTGCTTAACCACGTAATTTTCTCTTCTTATTAACACATACAATGCTCTACTTTATTATACAGTTATGTTAAATGAGTCATTTTATGAAGTTAATAGTAATATTAATGTCTCTCAATTATTGAAAAAAAATTGCAAAGACAAATAAAAAATTTTAATTTTTTCTATGATTTCCAACTATACAAACTTAGTAATGAATGATCGAACATAGTGTAATTATTATCTCCAAAAACAAACACATACTAGAACAGCTAATATGCTTTTAAGGAAATTCAAGATTTTGATGTCATCAGGCAACATGAAATAGTACTAATTAGTGTTGTGATCCAAATGATACCACCAAATAAGTGGTTAAACAATATCAAAGCTAATACATGTATTATTTTCTCTCATATACACGACGTACCAAATAAGTGATTAAACAATATCAAAGCTATACAAAAAACCAAAGAACATATTAAGCTGAAAGTTCACTTTCTCTATTGCTATTTGTTGAGCCCTCTAATTTTTTCCATGATCTATCTACTCAATAATATCAGTAGCGATAAGCCAGACGTTTGGCAAGATAGACCTCATATCAAGCCAATAGTACAGAAATAAAAATCTCCGGATATTACACAAATAAAAATCTGACTTGATAAATTTCCTTGAGTGAATTTGAGTACAAAGGATATTAAAAGAAGAGGTGCCATGGAGGGCAGATTTGTTAATTATCTCCGTGCTATCACTAAAGAGGACAACCCAGCAACATGATGATTCAATAGAGCCAAACAAAGTACATCTACTAACACAATAGTTTGCTTGAAAGCAACAACCACAACATGTTTAGCTCCATCGGGATTTCAAGCTCCTTTTCAACTATGGTGTTGCATATATATAATGTAATAATTACATACATGATTTATAATGTAATACTCCCTCCGTTTCAATTTGTTTGTCTTACTTTGACTAACTACGGAGTTTAAAAAAGTAAATAAGACTTTTGAATCTTTACTGGTCTTAAGCTAAAGATATGTATAATATATCAAAAGTAAAATGAAAAAATTAAAACAGGGGGAGTAATTGTTACTCCTAGTACATTATATAGTTACCTATAATGTATCTTAAGATATAACTATTTAAGCATTCTTCCTCTGGACAACGCATTAAAGTTAAACTCATATTGGTGCATTGTAGATTACCTTACACCTACACTCATTCCGGAAAATAACATGTGGGCAATGGCATGGGTATTTATACTGAAAAGTCACAAACAGAAAAATTGTCAGCCTTGATGAATGTGAAAATGTGTCTAAAGTAAAGAAGCTTTTACTTCATCGCAATTATGGAAATCGATGTTTTCGGGTTTGGCATCAAACCAGCCAATAACACAAGAATCTCAAAAGCGCAGTAATCCAAACTGTGTATATACATGTACATCATCATCAACAACAGCATATCCAGTGTAATCCCACAAGTAGAGTTAGGGCAGAGGGTAGAGTGTATGCAAACGAATGAAATGAAGAGCACCACATAATATAAGAAGGAAAGAATAGTTATATGATAGAGCGAGAACGTATGTGTATGGAGAAAAACATGATCATGGCAGCAGTGGGCAAAGCCAATTTCAAGTTAGTAAGGATATGATGAAAATGAAATGTCTCAAATGAGAAAGCGTAATCCCATGTGATATGTTTGGAGAAAAACATGAATAGACCAAAGATGATCAATTGAATCCAAATGGAAATAGATGTTGCTAACGATGCTCCTTTAAAACCAAGAGTTGTCCAATGAACCAAAGCATAGGCAATAAAAGCAATATGTATAACTAAAGATACCATTGAAAAGAAAAGTCTAGGGTCTAAAATTGTGTGCGCCCTAACAAATCTCATGGCATTTTGCAAAAAACCATATCCAGACAATCCAGGCATAAGAAATTTCAAAACTAGTCCTGCTTCTTTCACAATTTCATGATCCTAATGAAATAAATGAATGAGAATTGTATCTGAGTACCACCAGAGAAGAACAATCGTGATGGAAAAGAAGAATGATATGATACATGATGTCTGCAGCAATCTGTACGCTGTTGTTGGGGATTGTCTACATAATGTTTCGAGTGAAGCATTCAATCCAAACAAATTACAAGATGAAAAAATAAATTGGGCCATAACAAAGTAGATTTCCCTTCAACTTCATTTTTTGTTTTGAATTTGTGGAGAGAAAAAACAATTGTGCTCCTACACCTGATAAAATTTAGTTTGTGGTCTCTCTCTTATAGTTTCTTTCAATTTTTTCAATCCATTAGAGAAGTTAGATGACCTATATGCATTAAAGAAACCGATTAGGTATTCACCTGCATGTATTTAAGCTTTTCAGTAGTAGTTAATTCATTCGTAAAGCTACTCATCTTGCATAATTGACGTAACATCAGTTTAAGCAAAGGTCTTTATAAACAAGAAGCATGACAGCAAAGTTAATCTGAGTCCACGGCTAGCTCAGATATTTTGACCAGCAGCATGCGCTCCCTCTCAAAAACAGCTGCATCAACCTGCAAAATAGCTGAAACTCTGACGAAAATGAATGTGAAAACAGATGGTTTGATAACTGGAATGTTTAGGTCGTATCTAAGTAATAAGTATAGAGCTATACACAATGAAATACTTCAAAAGTACTTAAAATAAATACTCCAAGGCATTGAGATTAAAGTTCATACAAAGTTGTCAGCAGTAGTTACCTAATAAGTCAGTTACTTCTCCAGTTGCTTATAGAGTGAAGGCTAAATAAAATCGGTAAAAGATAAAATCAAACACCTGCTGATAGAATCTACAGAGTAATTGGTCATCAGCAGAACCTATCACAGGAGAACCAAGGTCTCTAAGCTCAGTTAAAACATAAACAAGCATATCGCTAAACTATATTTATTTGAAATTGATAACAACTTGTATTAAAAGTAAAATTCAGCTAACAGAAGTTCGAGTTGTGATCTTTACAAACAAAAGTTACATCTTCCACGCCCAAAAGAACTTACACTTTTCCTATTAAATAGGGAAAATACCTAAGTACCCCCTCAACCTATGCCCGAAATCCCAGAGACACACTTATACTATACTAAGGTCCTATTACCCCCCCCCCCCGAACTTATTTTATATGTAATTTTATACCCCTTTTTAGCCTACGTGGAAGACCAAATGAAGAGAAGCAAAGGACGTTTTTGTGCCACTACTACAGAAAACTAGGTCATAAAGAAGCTTATTGTTGGCAAAAAGTAAGGATGAGAATAACCAAGCAAGCTTTGCAGAGAAAAATGATGATGAATGTAAGCTGTTCATGGCCCTTTCTTGTGAAAAAGAGACTCCTAACGATGTTTGGTTTTTGGACAGTGGATGTTCCAATCATATGTCTGGAACAAAATCATTGTTCAAGGATCTTGATGAGTCAAAAAAATCAGACGTGAGGCTTGGAGATAACAAGAAGGTTCAGGTTGAAGGCGAAGGCACTGTTAGCATTATGATTAGCCAAGGTAATACTAAAATTTTAGAAGATGTGATGTTTGTTCCTAGCCTATCTCATAATTTGCTTAGCATTGAACAACTAATGATTAGCGGGTACTCAATTTCTTTTGATGATGGTGTTTGCACTATTAAAAATAAGAAATTTGGGAAAACCATTGCTAAAGTTCCAATGACTAACAACAAAATGTTTCCTTTAGAAGTTTCAATGGTTGAAAAGTGTGTTATGGTAGCTAGTGGAGATGATGAAACTAGAATGTGGCATTTGCGTTATGGTCATTTAAATGTTAATGGGTTGAAGTTATTGAGCCAAAAGGAAATGGTTTTTGGGTTGCCAAAAGTTGAGAATCTTGATTTTTGCGAAAGTTGTGTTTATGGAAAACAAAGTAAAAAGGTTTTTCTTGTAGGCAAGTCTTGGAGAGCTTTTGTTTGTCTTGAGTTAGTACATGCTGATTTGTGCGGTCCTGTGAGTGTTGAGTCCTTAGGAGGAAGTCGATACTTTCTGCTTTTTATTGATGATTATACTCGTATGAGTTGGATATATTTCTTGAAATTTAAATCTGAAACGTTTGACAATTTCAAGAAATTTAAATCTTTTGTTGAGAGGCAAAGTGGATGTAGACTCAAAACTCTTCGAACAGATAGAGGTGGTGAGTTTATGTCAAAAGAATTTTGTTCCTTTTGTGAGGAAATGGAATACACAGAGAGCTCACATCACCTTAGACACCGGAGCAGAACGGTGTAGCTGAACGAAAGAACGGCACAGTTGTCGAGATGGGCAGAAGCTTGATAGAAGGTAGAGGTGTACTGAAGTGTTTTTGGGCTGAAGCTGTTGCCACTGCCGTCTATTTGCTGAATATTTCACCCACTAAGGCAGTGTTTAATCGAACACCATATGAAGCTTGGAGAGGTAACAAGCCAAAGGTAATGTATAGCTTATGCTTTGGTGAATTCGCAGGCTCGATGTAAGCTTGATGAAAAATGTGAAAAATGTATCTTTGTTGGATATAGCTCACAATCCAAAGCCTATAAGCTATACAATCCAGTGAGTGGCAAAATTATGGTCAATAGAAATGTTGTGTTTAATGAAGATGCAAGCTGGAACTTTAATTCAGGAAATAAAAGTTCAAATATTCAATTGTTTCCTTCTGACGTTATTATTGATCAAAAGTATGGAGCAGATCAGTTTTTGGCAGGTCCATCGACTACCTCATCAATTGCACCAGCAACATCTCCAACATTGGAAGAACCTTCAGCTGAGCCAACTCCATTAACAAGATCAACAAGGGATAGGAAACCAAATCCAAATATGCTGACAATATATGTTGTATTTTTTCTTTACTTGTTTCAGATCCTATTTTCTTTGAAGATGCTGAAACAGAGGATAAATGGTGCAAAGCTATGGAAGAGGAGTTGTTGGCTATTCAAAAGAATCAAACATGGGACTTGGTAAATTTGCTAGAACGAAAGAAAGCTATTGGGCTCAAATGGGTGTTTAGAACCAAATATCATGCAGATGGCAGCATCCAAAAACACAAGGCAAGACTCGTCACAAAGGGTTATTCCCAACAACAAGGTATTGACTTCGACGAGACTTTTTCTCCTGTTGCCCGCTTTGAAACTGTGAGATTCTTAGCCTTGGCTGCTAATTTAAATTGGCCAGTGTATCAATTTGATGTCAAATCTGCCTTTTTAAATGGTGATTTGGAAGAGGAAGTTTATGTCTCACAGCCTGAAGGTTTTGTAGTTAATGGCAAAGAAGATAAGGTTTACAGGTTAAAAAAGGCACTATATGGCTTAAAGCAAGCGCCGCGGGCATGGTACTTCAAAATTGATTCGTATTTCCAGGAGAATGGTTTTGAAAGAAGTAACAATGATCCTACTCTTTATGTAAAACAAGAAGGTAAAAATGATTTTTTGGTGGTATGTCTTTACGTTGACGATATGATATATATGGGTTCGAGTGAGTCTATCGTCACTGAATTTAAGGACTGCATGATGAAGAATTTTGAGATGTCTGATTTGGGTCTGCTGCATTATTTTCTTGGTCTTGAGGTGAAACAAGGAATTGATGGCATATTTCTTTCACAAAGAAAATATGCAACAGATCTTTTGAAAAAGTTTACCATGGTAAATTGTAAAGTTGCTACTACGCCAATGAATATTAATGAGAAGTTGTGTCGTGATGATGGTTCTGAAATGGCAAATGCGACTTATTTTAGAAGTCTGGTTGGTGGTTTGAACTACTTGTCTCATACAAGACCAGACATCGCTTTCTCTGTTGGAGTCATATCGAGATTTATGCACAATCCAAGCAAGCTTCACCTTGGAGCTGCAAAGAGAGTGCTGAGATATATCGCTGGGACAACAGAGCATGGAATTTGGTATTCTAAGGCAACAAATTTCACACTAACTGGCTTTACTGATAGTGACTACGCAGGCAACATTGATGACAGGAAGAGCACATCTGGTTTCTTGTTTAATCTTGGATCTGGAGCAATTTCATGGAGTTCAAAGAAGCAGGAAATAGTGTCCTTATCAACTTCAGAGGCTGAATATATTGCAGCAACCTCTGCAGCTTGTCAAGCAGTTTGGTTAAGGAGACTTCTTGCAGACTTTAATCAAAAACCAGCTGGTGTGACTAAGATTTTTTGTGACAATATATCTGCTATTGCGATGACGAATAAGCAGCATTACACAGTAGAACAAAGTACACTGATATTCTCTATCACTATATTCGAGGTCTTGTTTCTACTGGAGAAATTACTTTGAAGTCTTGTGATACAAATGAGCAAATAGCAGACATCTTCATGAAGTCACTTCCGCAAGCAAAGCCCCAGTTCTTCAGAGGTCAACTTGGAGTTTGCAGGTTTGAATCAAGGGGGAGTGTTGAGAAGTGATTCAAAGATACTTGACCAAGTCTTTAAGAGGTTGTTAGTTAGTTCCCTTTATTTTAGCAATGTTAGATATAGTAGCAGATTAGTAGCTAACTAGTAATTAGTGGGTACCTAAATTTCGGTATTTCAGTTTCATTGTAAGCCTTTTTAATAGGCAGGTCTCGTTAGTTTCATAATGGCAAAACCGGAAACAAGAAGTTGGGCAGTAGCTTCACTTTTCTATTGCTCTATTCTCTGTTCACTTTCTCCCTTAGATTTCCTTTTTATTTCCAACAGAAATATGCTACCTTTGGAAAGCAAAAAATCCAAATGAAGGAAAACAAACAAACACAATGGAAAACAAAAATTTGGGGAAAGATTTTACCTTTCAGCTATGTACTCAAGCAACTGAGCAGTGGCAAAGTACTGCAAATTGATATCAACAGCTTCACCTTGGCTGCGATCAACAGCATGTCGGCACATTACCTCTAAGTCGTAATCCATTTCAGAGAGGTCTCTGAGGTTCCACATGTCAATGACTCGCCACGTTGAAGGATTCTTACACAGTCGCCTCCACTTGCTGCACACTTTCTCAGTTGTCTCCAGTATCTCTACAACACCAAGCTTGTGTAGTATATTAGCCCATATACCTTCCGGAAGTTCCATCGATGGCGGCTTTTTCACCACCTTTCTATTCATTGTATTTTTCTAGGGTTTGAGTGAAGAAGAAAATGGATGCTTTTGAAGATGAATTGTAGTGTAATCAACTAGAGTATATAAGTATCATATTTAATAAATATGATAAAAACTAGGGCAAATGATCAAAAATGCCCCTTAATTTTGGTTTTTTGAATTTATTTTCGCCGCTAAAATAAGGTCAAACTTATTTCTTCCGCTTTCAGTTTCATCAAAATTATCTCTCATTAGACGGAATCCCCAAAATTGACCCAAATTACCCGATTTTTAAAAAAAATTCATATTCCTTATTTTTAACCCAATGCCCGACCCGATAATCCGATTAACTCAATGCTCTGTTACCTCCTTTACCCCTTTACCCATTTACCCATAATCTCTCTTTATCTCTTCCAGAAGCTAAGTCTAATAACCTCCGTCATTGTTCTTTAAGCATCTTTCATTTATTTCTCTAAAAAAATATTAACCATCTTATATTTATTCTCCTTCGGGATAATATACTTTTGGATCTACTCAATCAAAAAGTTATTAATTAAGGGATGTTCCTTAATAGTCACATTTCCAATTTCATCTTCTCTAGGCATTCTAATTTGTGTAAGGGCAATATGAGCGGAGTATAAAGGCTTAATCACCTCTTCTTCCAAGAACTTCTTGTATTCCAATTTGGGAACACTTCCTTTTTTTTTAACTGATTTTTGTTCTTTTCCATCTCTTGTACAATTAGTTCAATTTTATCTTGCAAACTCTCCATCTTATCAACAACTTCATCAATGCGAGAACTCAGTGCCTTTACATTAAGACTATCATAAATATCCTTCACACCATAAAAATGGCGACATATATCCTCATCAAGTAAGAAAAATCCAGCAGAGTAAAACCTAAACAAACTCGAAAGATTGTTGGACTTAGCTTATGAATAAATTATCGATCGATTCTTTCAGATGTGAATGAAAGACATTGTTCTTTGACTTGGTTTCTGAAAGAGAGAAAGAGAAATAATGGGTAATGAAATTTGGATGAATGGCTAATAGGGCATTGGGTTAATTGGGTCAACTGGGTTAAAAATAGGGAATATGGTTTGTTTGTTTTTTTAAATTGGATAATTTGGGTCAATTTGGGCTAATTTTGGGGATTTCATCTAATGAGGGGTAATTTTGATGAAATTGAATATAAGAGGAGTAAATTTAACGTCATTTTAACGGCGAGGGTAAATTCAAATAATAAACCAAAGTTGAGGGATATTTTTAACCCTTTTCCTTAAAAACTACTCAAGTCAAAGATAAAATGAGAAAAGACTCAAAATAGTCTCTCATCTTTAGGTTAAGGCTCAAAGTGATCCTTTAGTTTTCACATAAAGCACTAGTAGTCCCTCATGTTTGCAATAGTGGTGCACTTTTGGTCCTTCCCAAATTTTTTAACATTAATTTGTCCAAAAATTTATATAAGGAATGTTCCATCGTCTTTTTATATATTTAATAGAAATAATAACCCTATCTGAGAGAAGATGATAAGAAAAACACCTTGTTTTGTTCACTAGAAATATTACTGCAACAAAACTAAGGACATCTTAACATATGATTTTGCAGGAAAATAAAAAATTGTACTATTGCACATGAAATTATCGTGATGAACATTTCGACTTTACATACAATATAATTTCTACTAAATAAAACAAAGTGTTTTTCATCTCACATTCTTTCATATGGATTTGTTATTTCTACTAAATCTATAAAATGACGATTGAACTTCCCATACATAGGTTATGGATAAAATCAATGCTAAAAATAGGTAAAAATTTTTGGAGGAGGACCAAAAGTGCATTAATATTACAAACATGAGGGACTATTAGTGCTTTATGTAAAAACTCAAGGATCACTTTGAGTCTTAACCCAAAGAAGAGAGACTATTTTAATCCTCTCCTCAAGATAAAATGGTTCTAATTCGTGTTTCTTTTAATTTTAAATTAAATATAAACCAGATAAAATGATTTTGACTCATCTTTATTTTAGGTCAACTATAAATTGAGTAAAATGGTTTTAATCCGTCTTTCTTTTTTTCATTGTTTAATTCAGTTTTTTCTACTTGGATTCTTATTTATCTTGTTTTTTTTTTTGTGTTAATGAAATATATTTTTAAAAGGTATAATACATAAATATTACATTTAATTTGGCGTCAACGAACAATTATATCCTCCAACTTTGAATTTGCACAAGTAAATACTTAAACTATTATAAAATTGAATATATAGACACAAGTGTCCTACGTGGTATGATAAATATGGAATGTCAATTCAATTAATTTGTGCATTAGTTTAAAGAAAAATAAAATATATATTTCTTCTATCACCCGACATTTTAAAATATATCTCTTGTCATCTTTGAGATTTTATTATTATAACTAATGGAATTGATTGATCAATTTAAGCTCAATTAATAATAACAAATACAAAATCATATCATCAGTCAATTCTTCTATTAAATTGTTTGAGCTCATATATCAGCTTGCTATTTTACTCAAGAGCTTAGGTCCAAGCAATATGTGGAAAGATTTATAAATTTCACTCACTGTGATCAAAATTTTTGTTGAAAATCTGAATTCGAGAGCACAACTTTAGTATTATAAGCTTGTTATTCATGGTATATGATTCCACCTATACAACCAAAAAAATCTTATTCTTATTTTTAAAAAAATCAAAATTTTACAATATAAAAATAATTGTCATGCACTTACAACTCAGACATAAGAACATTTCAACATCTAATAATATAACGGAAAAGGGTCATATTTGCCCTTATACTCTTAGAAAAGAATCATATTTATCCTTTCTTATACTTTTTTGATATATTTACCCTTACCATCCAACTTTGAGCACATATTTGCCCTTATACAGTTAAGTATTGTGTCACTATTTTTATAATAGTCTATGTGGCACCATATGGCATCTACATGGCTCCATGTATATACATTTTATCTGGAGAGTGAAATTATATACGTTTGAGGCATTATCACAAATGACCAATTTCAGAATTCAATCAAGTGGATGCTTTAAAAGGTTTTTATTTGTGGGAAAATCAATTTTTTGGTGAAATTTCTTGAGATTACTTAGAAAAAATGTTGTTGTTGAAGAAGTTATGGCTGTGGAAAACAACCAGTTCTCAATCTAATACTGCTAGCCTCGAAGCAATCGACATTAGAATCACCCAACCTTTCTTATAATAACTTAGTGGAAATCTCTATTTCTTAATGTGAATTTTGATATCATCAATTGTTTTGTTATTGATCATGATTACAGCAATATATATCATATGTCATATTCACTACCAACAAAATCACTGTGCTTCAATTGATTTTTTGAGGAGACATCACTTGGGAGGCAAATTTCCAGTGACAACAAGAAGTCATTTAAACAAAATTGGTGTGCAGTTCATTAGAAAAGGGTCGATAATGGAAAAACTTTAGGAGTTTATGGTAAATGATGGTAAAAGTGAGTTTGGTTTAGCAAATTTGATGAAAGTAATAGGTCTTTATGTTGGTTGGTGGGATTTTACTAAATGGGTCGGATAGGTACTAAATAGAAAGTAAAATTTAATTACAATAAAAATGTATACAAATGAAGCCATGTAAGCATCATGTGGTGCCACATAGACTATTATAAAAATGGTGACACAACACTTCAATTATATAAGGGCAAATATGTGCGTAAAGTTGGATGGTAAGGATAAATATATCAAAAAAACTATAACAAAGGATAAATATGACCCCTTTTTAAGAGTACAAGAGCAAATATGACCCTTTTTCCGATAATATAATTATTCATGTAGGAGCTTCCCCTAGTACAAGATCATTCTTCTAGTCTATTGTTTGTTTTATCATCTTTGCCAATTGACTATTTGTTTCACCATTTTTTTTTTATAGGACCACAAGGCTAGGCTAAATCTTCCTCAAAGGGATTTCTGAGCAGAATTCTTTTTCAAAGAACTGGCGATATTCCCTTAACTGCTTTCTCTAAGTATATTAATCATATATTATTATAAGCATGAAGCTCTAAAGTGTAAAGTTGAATTACTATTTTGCCCCTATACTAAATTAAAAAGTCATAAAATACTTTACCCAAATATAAATTAAATATCTAATTAAATAGTAATATTTGAATTACATAATAGAGGAGCAAAATGAGAAGTTCAGCAGTCTATTCAATTACTATGTGTGAAACAAATAGGATGAACACTAATAAAGTTTCAATTAATATAGAAGTTGAAACGTATTTTGCTAATTATGAGAAGTTGAAAGGAATCAAATTAAGTAATTGAGGAATATCAAAGAGTTTTTATCAACAAATCTTCAAGACTACACTATATAAACATACTCAATATTAGTCATTCAACACAAGCTACCATTGTTAAGTGGGTACAAAAGTGTCTTCTAATTTTCAGGTACAATCTTATTAAGTCTAGATTTTTCCGTTTGATTTGCTAACTTCATTTGAATGATAACTTTCTAATTTTTTTAATAGGTAAAATAAATAGCTTGAAAGGTATAATCACACATATCAAAAATTGAATGTTGTTGTACACATATGGTTTGATGCTGAATGATGATCAACTCTCTTTGAAACTCTCTACGCATAGTTTCCCGCAGAAAAAGAAACCATGTTATAAACTTTTAAACTATTAATAATAAATTGAAATTGCAGTTGTTTGCTAGCAAAATATATCACATTTTCTTCAACAAATGTAGCAACTCCAAGTTTTCTCTAACAGTGATGGATAGTAGTTGTAACCCTGTAAATGTAAGTCTTGGTATATCTGAAAGTTTTTAAAGAAGTAGTTACATTTGTAACGACACACATTAAGGATACAAGAAGACTTTAAGTAACGTCACGTTTTCCCTTTTTAATTCTTTAACTTGATGTGTCTTTCTTGGAAATTTTACTTATTGATGACTGTCTGTACATTTAATTGCTTATAAATGGGTAAGCTTTGGAGACTTATCTAATGTGCAGTAGATCGAAAATATCGAGAGAACACTCGAAAAAAATATCATGTTCTCCTAATAGTTTATTACATACTTTTTCATTTATTTT